CTACAGATTCCCAGAAAACCATTTAAAACCCAAAATACGGCCTTTATCACTAAAAACCGGTTTTTACCATAAGGCCGATTTTTTTCAGCCTTTTGTATCCCCAGGTAGGGTTTAGGGTTTGGTTGAGGGTTGGGGCTAGGTTGCGGGGTTTAAGGGTGGTGGGCTTATAGGGATCCAGACTAGACTCATGGGGTTATGGGGTTTTCCAGATTGAGGTTGGGAGGCAGAGTTGGTTTACTGTGGCTGCCTGGCCTAGGAGTGTAGGGTTTGGGATTCTGGGGTTGGGATTGGGACCACATAGCTGGAATCATGGAGAACCAAATGGACATGAAACGGAAACTCTGGTTATGTATACCTGAGGGTGAACAGGTACTGGATATAGCGGCCTGAATGAGGGGAAAAGGCTACTTTGGTATGTTCTGATACACTTGTGTTAGGGTGTCAGGGGATAATGGCAATAACCCTGCATTACTCGCTAAGCTAACCTGGAGCCTGTAAATGGGCCTTGCAAAGACTACCCTCCTACCGAAAAGCAGGTTCCACGCGAATTTGTTGTTTGGGTAGTGCTTAAGTGCTACCCCCTTGCGCCTTCAGCGGGGACGTCCTCTTCCCCTAGTGCTTAAGTGTGCTAAGCCTAGACCTCAAGGCGTTTCAGGGGTCTAGGGGGTTTGCAGTTTGGCCGGATGTAGAGAGTCGGCTCCAGGGTTGGGGGTTGAGAACATGGCCTTTGTTTGCGTTTTGTGGGGCTTTCTATGGGCTCACCAGTGGGTTAATAAATGATCTGATAATACCATGTAAAGCATATCTACTGCATTTTGTCTACGTCAGGTCTGCTTGAGGAGGACAACCCTAAACCCTAAACCCCAGTAGGCGGGGGCGCATGGGAATTTTGGGGTTTCACACCAGAAGGCATGTCAGGTTTGCTCACACGGAACCCTGGATTTTCCTTGAGCACGGGTAGTGGTTTTCAAAGGGTTACGGTTTAGGGTTTAGGGCTAAGGGTTAGGTTCCTAAACCCTAAAACCGAAAGATCCCGTAGTGAGCTACTTGGAGGAGCAGACCCCGTACTTTACTTTCAAGAACCTTAAGTCTTCACTAAACCCCCTGAACTCCACAACCCCTGCCGACATGGAAGCTTATATGAACCCTTTTTTCAAAGGCCAGTAGCAAGTAGTCGTTATCAGGCATTTTTGAAACCCTAAACTACCTAAATTCTAAAACCATCAAGGTGGAGATCCCAGCCAAGTACGCCAAGCGCCGCCAGCCAATTGCGGATGGTTCCAAGGGACCCATGAACATCGGAGCGATTGCTGCAGCTGGGTCTGGTTTTTGAGGGTTCAATACGGATGATAAAAGGAGAGCATTACCTAAATCCCACAAGTATGCAGAATAATGGCCTTTTGGACCCGTGTTTACATTTTTGGGGCTCATAGTTCACCTCCTTTGGGTTTCCAGGTACTCCCAAAGAAAGTTGTGTATGTGGATTTAGGGTTTAGGGTTTAGGGTATGTGTTTAGGATGTAGGGCTTCGGGCGTGGGGCTGAGGGTGCATGGTTTTGCTGCAGCTCGGTCTGGGCCGTGAGGCAAGATGCCGGGTGCATGGGTTCCTTCTTCTAGGGGCCTCCAAAATAACTCATTTTTTGTTTTTCTAACCCTAATAATAACCAAAAGTGGTTTGCTTCTGAAAACTCCTTCTTTGTATGTTTAACCCTAATAACAACCCAAAAATATACTTTTTAGTTGGGTTCTGAGGCCGGTTTGGTGTTGGGTTCTTTACAAAGGGTATGCGAGCATGCAGATGAGGGTCCAGGAAGTAATCCAGAAATGACCCTGAACCCTAAGCGCCGGCGACTCATAATGTCAAGCATGGCCTAAATCCTGAAATCTAAGCCCTATAGATCCGAGAGTCGCAACCCCTAAACCCCCTAAACCCTAAATCCCAAGCTCTTACCGCGTTACTACATCACTATATAGACCTTAAACGCGGCTTGCACTCCTATTACATCATTATTGTTTTTCTATGCTGGCATAGCATTCTATGTTGTGTAAACCTGAAACTCTTGAACCCCAACCCCTACACCGGAAGTAATACCCTGAGCCCTTAACTCATCCTAAACAAACCCTGAACATTAGACCCACACCCTAACTAGCAGCCCTAAACCCTCAGCAAACCCTCAATAGACCCTAAACCCTAAGTAGACCAAAAGCCTAAGTACACCCTAAACCCCGAGCTCTAGACCTTAAACCCCCAAACTCTGCACCCTCTTTAAATGAACCCTAAACTCCAAACCCTAGATAAACTCTAAAACCTAAACCCTAAACCCTCTTTAAATGAACCCTAAACCCCAAACCCTAAATAAACTCTAAACCCAAACCCTAAACCCTAAACCCCCTTTAAGTGAGCCCTAAGCCCTAAACCCTAAATACACCCTAAACTTAAAACCCCAAAGCCCTGAACGTGAGGTCATGCCTGAGGGCTGGAAGCTCGCCCCCAAGGATCGGCTCCCCAAGCCGCTAAAGACGCTGAAGCTGCTTTGGGAAGGCTTTCTTAGCCTTTTTAGGGTTTAAGGTTTAGGGTTTAGGGTTTAGGGGTTTTAGGGGTTTGGGCTTGAGTGGTTGAGGGTTCAGAGTTCAGGGTTTACGGGTTTAGGTTATTGGGTTTTAGGGAAGGCCTTCTTGGGTTTTAGGGGTTTAGGGTTTAGAGTTTAGGGTCCAAGGTTTTTGGTTCAGGGTTCTAGGAATTAGGGTTTGTGGTTCAGGGTTTAGGGGTTAGGGTTTTAGAAGTTTAGAGTTTAGGGTTTAGGGTCTAAGGTTTTTGGTTCAGGGTTCTAGGGATTAGGGTTTTTGGTTCAGGGGTTTAGGGATTACGGGCTAAGGTTATTGGGTTTAGGATTTTTAGTTCAGGGTTTAGGGTTTATTTAGGGTCTAGGGCTTAGGGAAGTGGATTTGGAGATCAATGTTTTTGACTGTTACCAATTTAGGGGTAAAAGATCCATAGCCACTGCCAATCGTAGAGTTACTTACCACTTTGGGAAGGCTTTCTGGGACTAGAGAATGGATTTAGGGCTCAGGGTTTAGGGGTTGAACTTGGTGCTTAGGGTTTTAAGATTTCGGGTTCTGGGGTTGAATTTATATTTCAGAGATTAGGATACATAAGGTTTAGGGGCTGAAGCTAAGGGTTTGGGGCGAGGAGGGCATACTGAAGGGACTTAGATGAGTAGAATAGGGTCCCTCTTTAGGCAAAATAGACCATGAACCCTACACCCTAAACGAGTTTAGGGTGCAAGGGTTTAGGATTTTGGTTGTTTGGCTTCTTGGGCTTGAAGGAATAATGCTTAGTTGTCAGGGGTTATAGGGATGAACGTTCTTGCGCTTTTTAGATTAGACTTTCTTGCGCTTCCCGAAATGGGAGTCACAGATTCAACCCCACCTTATCGGATTGCTGGGATGTTGCTGAGACATTTGAAATGAAGTTACCACAATATAGGTATATAGTCGTCCCTAAACCCTAAACCACGTTTATGTAGTCGTTGAGTCTAGTAACTTAATTTAAGTTCCTGAATTGCAACCTTGATTATGGCCTTTCCAGATTCCAGGGCCCTTCTGATTTTTCGTCTGGACTTACGGTTTAGGGTTTAGGGTTTGTCCGCAGAGCAACCCCTTCTTACTGGTGTTAATAGGGATAATGGGCATACATTCTGTTTATGACCTTATACCTTGTCATTATAATATGCCCACCCGCACTGGCGAGTACAGCCCAGCAGGCTGCCCTTACCAATGCGATGCGCTGGCCTTAAGGGCTACCAGCTTCTCACACATTCGATAAGGGTGAGAATTTAGGTTTTATATCCCCTTGCTTATTCCCTACTAAGAGCCAGCAATCATTCTTTTACCATCAAATATGCTTTGCTATCCAAGGTCTCGAACCTCTCCGTAACCCTCAACCTTAAGCCAAGAAGCCTGCACTCCGTCCTAGACCCTACTCCCTTGACCTTCGGTAAGTTGAGTGCTTCTTGAGAAAGATAAGCTGCAGCCAAGGAAGGAGATGAAGGGTCTGGCGTGCACTTGGCCGCATGTGGGGGTGTTGGCGGGTGTTCAGGAGATGGCCATTTTGCATGTAGGTAGAGGACTTTCGTAGCAATGACGGCAGGAATTTGCCAACCCCCGCTTAAGGAACCACCCCCCCACCCATGAATATTAAAGACTCATCGCATGTAGTCTCCAATGTCGAGCCGGGTGTCCATAAAAGGAGGGGGCAGGGTGGTTGTTAATTTTTCCCATAATTTTCGGGAATTCATGCGTGCGTAACCGGAGTGACTATGGGTTTCCTGAATTTGGGGACAATTTTTTAAGGGATCGAACCATAATTCAAGGGACGATGGTTTCGTGTTTTCCAAGAGTGAATCCGCTTTTGAAAACTGGCATAAACGTAATTGCATCAAGGGATATCAAGGGGATCCCAGTTGTTTTACAGAGTCTCGATGGTTTGGGCTTACAGTATTGCTGACGATGGAAGGCGTCTAGCTGAGTCTAGGTCAAAGGGATGAGCCTAAGCTCTCCTGGCAGTGAAGATTGTGCACATCTGTGACTGCACTAGGCTACCCGTTTTCTTACTGGTGGTAATGGGTGTGGCACAATGGGTATATAATCCTTGCATAATCCTGAAATACTATATTAACCCCAAACCCAAAACCCTAAACCCCAGTATTTCCCTGTATAGGCCCTTGTATATATATATATATTCTGTATTCCCCCCGTATTGCCCCAAGTTTGTCCTTTGTCTTGCAATCTGGGCACGCGTGAAATCGAGAATACTGACTAATGAGTCCCCGGGCTCACCTCTCCTTACCGTAGAGTGTAGGGATTGTGGTTTAGGGTTTAGGGTCGAGGTTTCAGCGTTTAGGGATTAAGGATTATAACGTTTAGGGTTTAGGGGCAGGGGTTTAGGTCCCCACCTCTAGTACTTCGAACCTTGCATGGTTGTGCCAGATATGCCCCACGACAAGCGCCACCGTACCCTAAACCCTAAACACTCAGGAGTCATAGTCAAATCTCTTTAGGGGCTCCAAAAACGCACACTTTTCTCAAAATCCTGATTGATTTGGCTTCATGACAACCAGGTGGTCTGCTTACAGCAAGGACGGCGCTGTGCTTTGGGAAGATTTGTTTTGCATGTCCCTGCCTTACTTGAGTGTCAAGAGAGCATACTTATGCAGTCGACCCTATGATGGCCCCAGTTCTCCCATTGGCCTACGTGATAAGTCCCCGGACGCTTGAGGCAGGAACCCTTCAAGGAACTTCATTGTAACGCACAGAGTCTCAGTAGAAGACGTCCCACCATGGCTTTGGAGACCTGAGTTAAAATTGCTGCCAGGCCCCTGGTGGGCCTGTAGGTGAGACAAAGCGCAGACAAGCAGATTAAGACAGACGGATGGATATATTGGGGTTATATAGGGATAATGGAAAAGAATATGGAAACCATAGGGATTATAGGGATTATATGGGGATTATAGAGGATGGACGGACGGACACGGAGGAGGCGAGGGCGAGTGCGAAAGAGACAGGGAGGGAAGGAAGGAGCGAGTGAGGGAGAGAGATAGGGTTTAGGGTTTGGGGTTTGGGGTTTGGGGTTTAGGGTTTAGGGCTTAGGGTTTAGGGTTTAGGGTTTAGGGCTTAGGGTTTAGGGTTTAGGGCTTAACTCCTGGCCCTGATCTTTTCGATCCTAAACCTTCCCAGCAAGATTCCTGATAGGCTTGCAAATCTGCATGCGGCCTCTGAAAATGTGCGTTGGCCCAAACCAGCTTCAAGATTCAAGAAAGTTAATAAGACCCTAAACCTTAAACCCTTACCCGGAGGGTCCACAATGTACAGCTATCATATACTCCCCAAACCTTAACAACTGTTCATAGTGTAAGAGCCCCAAAGTACATGGCTATTTTATTATGGACCCTTAGGGCTAAGAAGCATCCAGAGGAGTACCCCAACATCGTCGTTGCCGGCCCGGTTCCCGGTGAGAGCTACGAGAAGATGGTGCTCCCCGGATACTGATTTGGCAGTTTCCCTGAAATAGGGGGGCTAGGGGGGCCCTAATATAGACCCCAATATACTATAGTCTCGGTTATTGGTAAGCCCCCCACTATAGTGCCCCTGATTATTTTCGGAAACCCCAAACCTTAATCCCTGAACCCCAAACCCTATATATGCTTATATAACCCTTATAAAACCTTTTAAAGGTACCCTAATTCTGGGAAGCCCTCATTTGGGTTTTCTTCAAGCCATCTACCCCTTGGGACCCGCGCTTTACGGTCTTTGGGAACCTGGAACCTGGGAACCCAACTAGGGTTTAGAGGTTTAGGGGTCTAGGGTTTAGAGGTTTACGGGTCTAGAGGTTTAGGGGCTTAGGGTTAGGGGGTCTAGGGTTTAGAGGTTTAGGGATCTAGGGGGTAGGGGTTTAGGGGTCTAGGATTGAGGGTTTAGGGTTCGGGGGTCTGGGATTTAGGGTTGAGAGATCTACATAATAGAGATTCCAAGGAGCCAAGCCTCATGTAGGTATCCTCATCTGCGAAGATTGATTTATTGACAACGCCCAGCTTGCTGTGGTTATTTGGGGTATGGAGCCCGGCCCATCACTAGCCACATGAGCTTCTGATTACCGATGGCGATCGGAGAGTGCAGGAGTGAAAGTAGACACGCGGTTTAGGGTTTTGGATTATATGATATGATGATTCTATAGGGACATAGGGATTGCTGTATAGACCCATGTCCCCCACTCGTCTGGGATCCGGGAGGCTGTGCAGAGATCCTTTGCAGCTATGTAGGGCCAAGCAGTCAAGGAAGTCCACACGTTCTCGAATTCTGGTAGGAAACTACCGCTTGTCGTGACGCGGGAAAGACAGTTCACCAAATCAGAGACCACCACCACCCCAGAACCAAGACCCCTTGACGAAGCCATGCCCTTCGCCTGCCCCCATACCTTGAAGCGCCGTGTAGAAGCCTGAATAATGCGAATCCTTCTCCAGTTTAATCCTTGTAAAATGAGACTAGAACATACATTCTGAATCCCCATTTTAATTGTTAAGCCCATAACACTTAGTCCTGAGGCTGCCAGTGCTGGCCCCTGATCCCAACACCAACGACAAGGTGGATGCGAAGTTTAGGTTTAGGGTTTAGGGTGTAGGGTCCACCATATGAAATCATACTTTGGGGTTCCTGTTTCAGTGCTTACTCATTGGTTTTGTTTTGAAAAGTATATGAGAATTGCATACAGCTTCCTTAGGCTGAAGATGGCGTCTCCGAGACTTAGGTACTGCGGTCGTCTTTACTCAACTGAGATTGCACGTCTACCACATGTACCTAAACCCCAAAAGTATGTAAAATAATAGCCCTAAACCTATAATAATAGCCATAAAGGCCATGATTTTACATACTTTTGGGGTCCAGGTAGGTGTTATGCAGGGCTTTACAGATAAAGCGTAGCAGAGCAGGAAACCTGAAGAGAAGGCGTCACACCGGTATAGGGTTTAGGGTTTAGGGTTTAGGGTTCAGGGTTTAGGGTTTAGGGCGTCTACCTGCGCAGGGCTGTGTATCCATGCGCCGATGGCGCCACCCCACTTCCAGGGATCTGTGGGTGGCGGCACATCCTGCGCCCAGCGAACTTCGTTGATGTTGCCCAAGAAGCCATCGAAACTGGGCTTTCTTCAACACTCCCACCCG